CCAGTACTCTTTCCTGCCATGGCAGGGGGTCGGACTTGATGATCTACTCAGGTCCCTTCCGACCCTACAAACTATGAAACTATGACTTAAGGAAAGCTGACTTTGACAAGCTAAGGAGGCTTGTCAGTGAGGCTCTAAGGGGCCACAACCCAAAGGGGAGGGGAGTTCAGGACTCCTCAAGGGAGGAATCCTGGATGCTCAAGCAAAGTCCATCCCGTCTCGAAGGCAAGGCAGCAAAAGGGCACAGCAGCCCCCTTGGCTCTCCAGGGAACTGGTAGACCTCCTGCGTCTTAAAAGGAAGAGCTACAAAGGATGGAGGACTGGAACCACCACCAAGGAGGAATACCCTGCTCTGGTCCAGACCTGCAGAAAGCAAACCAGGAAAGCCAAGGCTGCGATGGAACTCCAGCTAGCTACAAATATCAAGGACAAAATAAGTCCTTTTTTAGATATGTGGGGAGCTGGAGGAAAAGCAAGGGCAACACTGGACCCCTGCTAAACCAGATGGGACAACTGACAACCAATGCCCATGAAAAAGCAAACTTGCTAAATGGGTACTTTGCGTCAGTTTTTTACGTCCCATGGGACGCCCCTGCCCACTGTGGGTCAGGGAGGCCTGGGTGAGGGAGATTCCTTACCCTCTATCGAAGCTGACCTCATGAAGGAACACATTGACAGGCTGGATACCTTAAAGTCAGCTGGCCCTGACAGTTTACATTCAAGGGTACTCAAGGAGCTGGCAAGCATCATAGCTCAGCCCCTGGCATGGATCTTTGAGAACTCCTGGTGCTCTGGTGAAGTGCCCGAAGCTTGGAAGAACACCAATGTCATGCCAATCTTCAAGAAAGGGAGGAAAGTAGATCCAGCAAACTACAGGCCCATCAGCCTGACCTCTATTCTGGGCAAGGTCTTGGAAAAGGTTATCAAAGAGGCCACTCTTAACAGACTAGCTGACAGCAATATCCTGAGGGATACCCAGCATGGGTTTATTGCAGGTAGGTCTTGCTTGACCAATCTCATTTCCTCTTACGACCAGGTGACCTATCACCTGGACAAGGGGGAAGAGATTGACGTCATATATTTGACTTTAAAAAAGTCTTCGATCTGGTATCCCATGATCACCTCTTGGCAAAACTGGCTAACTGCGGCCTCAACCTCACCACGATCCACTGGCTGGGGAATTGGCTCCGCGGTAGGACCCAGAGGGTGGTAGTTGACGGAAGCCAATCATCTTGGTGCGTGGTCACCAGTGGGGTCCCTCAAGGGTCTGTCCTAGGACCTACACTGTTTAACATCTTCATCAGTGATGTGGACATTGGTGTCAGAAGCAGATTGGCCAAGTTTGCCGACAACACCAAACTCTGGGGTAAAGCATCCACACCTGAGGACAGGAGGGTGATCCAGGCAGATCCTGACAGGCTCATGAAAGGGGCAGATGAGAACCTGATGGGGTTCAACACCAAAAAATGCAAGGTTCTCCACCTTGGGAGGAAAAACCTGCAGCATCCTTATAGGCTTGGCAGTGCTACGCTGGTTAGCACTACAGATGAAAGGGACTTGGGGGTCATGACTGACCACAAGATGAAAATGAGCCTTCAATGTGATGCTGCGGCCAGTAAAGCGAGCAAAACGCTGGCTTGCATCCATAGATGTTTCTCAAGCAAATCCCGGGACGTCATTCTCCCGTTGTACTCGGCCTTGGTGAGGCCGCAGCTGGAGTACTGCGTCCAGTTTTGGGCTCCAGTTCAAAAAGGATGCGGAAAAGCTTGAGAGAGGGCAGAGGAGAGCCACGCACATTGTCAGAGGTCAGGAAAACAGACCTTATGATGAGAGGCTGAGAGCCATGGGACTCTTCAGCCTAGAAAAGCGCAGGCTCAGGGGTGATCTGCTGGCCACCTATAAGTTTATCAGGGGTGCTCATCAAGATCTGGGGGAATGTCTGTTCACCAGAGTTCCCCAAGGGATGACAAGTTCGAACAGTCACAAACTCCGCCACGACCAATTCAGGCTGGGCATAAGGAAGAACTTCTTTACTGTCCAAGCCACTGGAGGCGGTTCAAGCACCCACTTTGAACGCCTTCAAGACACATTTGGATGCTTATCTTGCTGGGATCCTACGATCCCTGCTGACTTCCTGCCCATGGGTCAGGGGCCTGGACTCAATGATCCTCTGGGGTCCCTTCCAGCCCAAATGTCTAAATGTCTATGAAAATCAAGTTGGAAGCTCATTACCACATACACAGGTTTCTGCATTTATCCAAACCACTATATTTTCTAGTCAGTAACATTCTACTTTTAGTTTAAAAAAGGGAAAAATTGAAACCTACACATTCTTTGGTTAAGGGAGCTAAGAAATAATCAAGGCAAAAAAAGCATCTTAAAAACAGCCAACCATGTTGTGAAGAAAGTTTTTGTAACTCTAGTAAGTACTCACCTTCATTTGCTAGGGCCCCTTCATCATGTCTCCCTGGAGAGGCAGGTGGTGGAAGAGGTGGAAATGTTTCATCTTCTGTATGCTCATAATCAGGAAGATCAAGCCTGTTGTCTTCTACTGGATCTACCATCTTCGCAGCTATTTCCCCTCTAAGAGAATATTACAAATCATTGAAGAAGAAGAGGTACTAAGAAGAGACTGTCATGCTGGAAATGGCCTATTATAAGCTACTCATATTTTGCCTTGAAACTATCTGCTTTCATGAAGAATATTGCTAATCGGTGTGTGGGTTACAAGATATCACCAGGTAGTCTACAATTCTGAGATACAAAAGGCTGGTCAACATTTTTTCTAGCTCAGTTTTTTGATGAGGGGCAGGGGAGGAGTAGGGGAGGCAGGGAAGACAGATTGAAGAACTAATTTCCAAACAAATGCTTTTGCAGACAATCTACTTTCCATGGAGGACTGTTACAATACCAAAAACTGAAAACACTTAAGTTTTGACAAAAGAAAAAAAAAATCACCATTTTCTTTGGAGAAAATATATATTTGCCCCACCAACATCTCTAGCATGACTCCTTGTGCTTCAATGATGGAGCCAACTAACCTGCAACTGATGTTTAAACAAACAAACAAAACAGCCCCCCTGCACTTGGGCAGGAAAGACTGCTGAGGTCAGATGACCCCAGCAAAGTGGGCATCAAGATGCTTTTTGAAGATCGGCAGGATGGGTGACTGTACCACCTCTCGGGGAAACCCTAGGCATTCAACTTGTAAAGAAGCTTTTTCTTGTCTAGTCTGAAGCAATCTTCAATCAGCTTGTGCCCATTATTTCTAGTCCTCCCCTGGGAGGCCTTGGGGGCTGGACCCAATAATCTGTAAGGTCCCTTCCGGCCCCTAAAAAACTATGAAACACCATTCTCTAACCCAGCTGCCAGGTTACTTCAGAAGGTACAGCCCATGGATTGGGACAGTTGGACCCCAGCTGGTGGACTAGGAAGCTCCGTCTAAAACAGCAGCCCTCAATCTTTTTAAAACCAGGACGTCCACACCTTCAGACTCACAGGCCCCCTCCGAAAATGCCAGCTTTCACTCATTTTTTGAATGCAAAATATAGGAGTTTTGGTTATGCTAAGCCGTAGTTATGCTAAACCATAGTTAAGCTAAGATAATGTAAAGGACCTTTGGAATAACAGGCTTCACTGACTGCTACATGACCTGCTAGAAGACACAGTTAGCAAAAATGCGAAGTCAGAGTAAGAAATTATACCTGAACAAGTGCGGGAGAGCAGCGGAAATGCTAATACAAAGAAAGAAACAACAGCTGAACAAGTGTGGGAGTTAAAAGTTAGAACTCGCTAAAGTAGATATAACAAAAGGTGAGTTGTACTCAGCAGACTGGAGATGCTCAAATTTAGTAAGGAAATGAATAGAAACGCCCAAACTCAGCAGAGCGCGAGTTCTAAATGCCTGAATTTGGAAGCAAGGAGCTGCATTTGACAAGGAAGGAGCTGCAGGTGTCTGCTAGCTACTGTCCTAAAAGGCAATAACCTCTCTGGGGTGCAGGCTGTAGCCGTGTTGGTCTACGGACATAGGCAGACAAAGTTCTTTGTGTAAACCCGATATCTTTTATTAAATAGTAAAATAGAAAAAAAATATATATATATTTGACATTTCTCAGTTGATCTAATGAGCTTTCAAGCTTGCCGAAAATGCAGTTTTCAAGCGTGCCGAAAAAAGGGTTGGTTTTTTTTTGCAATTTCCCTGTTGGTCTAATGAGCTTTCAAGCTTGCTGAAAATGCACCTTTCAAGATTGCCGAAAAATTTATTTTTTTTTTTTGCGCGCACACAGTTGATCTGATGAGCTTTCAAACTTGCCGAAAAAGCAGCTTTCAAGTTTGGCAGAAAAGTTTTTTTTTTTTTTTTTTTTGGCAATTTCTCAGCTGGCCTAACGAGCTTTCCGAAAAGAGATATTTCGTGCCACTTCCCAGCTGGTCTAACGAGAGGTGTCATTCTGGATCCGGAGCTCAAGGTTGACGCATTTCTTTCAGTCTCGGAGCACCACGGCTAGCACCGACACCCTGGGCAGCCTCTGGGTTTCTCGCGGGCGGGAGCTGGCACACCTCGCACCCGCCCCGGCTGAGCACCGCTGCGGAGAAGCCCCCCGCAGCCCCAAAGCGAGCGAGGCGCGGGGATGGACGAGGCCCAAACGGCCTCCAGTCACGCTGGGGCGAGCACCACCCAGCAAAGGCAGCCGCTGGGGGCACAAAGTCGCTATCCCCGCACCTCCTAGGGCGCCCCAGCGGGTGCTGAGGGCTAGGCCCGGCCCCCGCCTCCACAGACCCGGCCCGGGGCAGCAAGAGCCGCCGCTACCTCCAACCGCCACAGACGCTCCCGCCAAGTTCAGTCAGGAGCTGAGCGGCAAGGAACGCTCGCGAGAACACACGCTCTCGCGAGATCTCGCGGCAGGAGCGGCTGCGTAGCCTCGCGCTGGCGCATGCGCGCTGCGACCGTCCCCGTTTTGGCGCCAAGACGACCGTTGATGCTCCTGTCGCTTTCCCGGGCTTGGGGATGAGAGGAGCTTAATGATGGCTCCTGGTGTGGGGAGCATACAGCCAGTGCCCCTCCACTGCTTCATGCACTTCCTATTTAGCTGCTGGTCGTGCCCAGGGTTTAACGGCTGCGGAAGAGGGTGGCTCCTGCGCGTTTGCGCACGGGTCGGTTGGTTTGGACAGGGATTGTGGACTCCACATCCAGTGAAAACTGGATAGAAACCAGCTACAAAGTTTGCAAGCACTAACTTTGTAGCTGGTTGGCTCTTTGTGTAGCTGGACAGAGATTGTTATGGCTTGATAATTGGCTCGCAGGCGTGGCCGGCGTAAATTTATGTTGAGATGAACTAGTTAGTTGCCTGATGTACATAATACGGCAGGGGCCTGTGAGATCCCTTCCAGCGGTCATGTCCTATCGGTCTACAGCGGGCGGTGGCTCTCGGTCAGGGTGCCACAGCACCCGATCCTCCCCCGGCTCTTGTTGGGGGTCACTTGATAGCTGCGCAAACGTGACTCGCAAGATAAACCCAGAGATTTTGAATGGAAATCCCTAGCGTGAAAATGGCTGCTGTTGTCTCTCTCAGTGCTTTGCAACAGAAGAACGGCTCTGTTGTTTTTCTACGGTCAACAAATTAGTGAAAACAGGCCCGCATTTTCTGCGCATTGCCTTGAGTCTTCACAAGGTTGCAAACCACTGTTCTGTGAGCTAGCTTTTTTTTTGGTTGTTGTATATTAAATGTTGTATAATCTTGTATATTACACCTTTTCACAGGGATCCAGAAGTTTTAAGAAACACGGCAATCGCTGCGTATCAAGTGTCGTAAAGTGTAATGTAGCCATGCTATGCAACAAAAACAAGATGGAGATGTCGCATGTTTCTCTTATGGCCTCTACTGAGAGTCGTATTTTGCAAAAATCACTACATCAGTTTCCAGGCGGCAAAATTCATAGATTTATAGATGCTAGGGTCGGAAGGGACCTCAACAGATCATCGAGTCCGACCCCCTGCCTAGGCAGGGAAGAGCGCTGGGGTGAGATGACCCCACCAGATGAAATGTCAGATGCTTCAGAAAAGGCTTATGTTAAAATATTTTCCACTGTCTAACAGATTGCATTCTTTGCTCTTTCCACTGTTCATGTTTTTATCTGAGCAAAATGGTTCAAGTTAATGGAATTTATTCAAATACCTTTTCTGTGCAGATCTGTCTTCACATATTTCCATAAAGCCATGAGCTAATTTGAGACACTGCTGATATTTTAGCTTCTTTCTGTTAACAAGGCAAACACAGTGCTGACACTTTTCAGTTAAAATATAAAGATATCTACATTGTCAGAAAACAAAACACTTATCACCTGATATTGTAAAACTTTTACCATCTAGTGCAGGAATATTTTTGAAAGAAAGAAACTGTGCAAAATAGCAAGCAGATGATTTGGTTATCAGCTTTCCCACTTGTACATCTACTTTCAAGATAAAAGAAATATTACCAATTTGTGGGAGACTATGGGATCAGAGCATGATGTACCATTGTTGCAATAAAAGGCTGATGGCTATCCAGAGGAAACATTCTGGGATTTTTATTTGAACTGAGAGCCAAGCTATAGACTGCTAACAACCTGAAGTTGTTATTTTTCTGTGGGATGCAGTAAGATGTGTTAACAAGGTGACATATTTGTTTTAAAGCTGAATGAATTGGTTGCCTCAAGAAAGCAGGAACACACATTTTGCTTTACTGGTTTCCATAATTGGTTTCATGAAAATAACTGCCCTCTGGAAGAGTAATCTGTTAGAGACTGAACTATGAAACACTACCTTGACTTTGCAAATTTTGACTGAAAATGCCAGCATTCAGCTTCCCACTCAAATTCTAATGAACCATCTCACTTGACTGAAGAAACAGTTTGCAACTTTGACTGTGGTCCTGGACATGTCAAAATAAGCACAAGGCCCATTTCGGTTAACAACTGATGATTGCCAGCAACTGAAATCAAGCAGTTTATGAAGCTATCCTGCAATCAAAATGTAAGCATGTTGATTACCTGAATCTTTCTTTCTGGTTTGCTTTGAATGTTATGTATCTAAGATCCTTGGCACACATTACACTTAAGACATGATTCACCAGTTAGCCATGTCTTACATTGTTAACTGGCCGCACATTAACGCAGTTAATGGCATGATAAGACAATAAGTAACAAAGTTATTACACAAAAATGTGTAATAACTTTGTACAGTAGTTGGTTCCTATCATGCTATTAATTGAACATGTGGCCAGGCTGGGGCTCCCAACTTAAGGGGGTGCCCCGGTGGCTGGGAGCCCCATCAGCAGATAGGGCTTCCAGTTGTAGGACCACACCATGTGCCTCCAGAGCTGCAGTTTGCTACCTGCCTGTGTAGGGGGACCTAGGATCATGATCCTGGGCTCCCCCTACACCAGCAAGAAGATGTGATGGGATCTGACACTGGTTCCCACAATCATGAATCCTGCCATGCACATGTGGCATGACAGGAAGCACAGCTGTGGGGATCCTGCATCAGATCCTAGTGTGCCTTTACTTGCATGTCTGCCAGGGGTCTTACACTACCAAATGATGCATTAAAACATGTATTTGTATGTAACTGGATTCAGTACATGGGTTTCTATCAAGTCATACTATTGTATCAGCATGAATCTCATGTAAAATTTGAGATGTGCTTTTTCAATACACCACTTAAATCTCACCACTGAGAGGATATAAAATGTGTGCCTTAGTTCAATTTGGCATTATGTTTGCCAACGTTAATTATTCATAGAATCATAGAAATTTAGGGTTGGAAGGGACCTCAGGAAGTCACATATAGTCCAACCCCCTGCTCAAAGCGGGACCATCCCCAGCTGGTGCATTCCAACCAAGGCTTTGTCTTCTGCTTACCATATTGCTTATGGTAACATGGAGTTGTGTAAAATTCTTGGTCTGTAAGTAGGTTGCAAATGAAAAAAGTTTGGTAACTTCTGGCCAAAGCCCAGGACAAATAAAAGGTGGTGCTATTCCTCCAGGCTCCGCTCACAAAAATATTATCTTGCCTCTGTGAGTAGCTCAGATGAACTACCACTCAAAAGAGATGGTTCTAACATTCTACATGTGATTATGTTGCCCTCAAGCTCTGTTGGGCTCCTAAAAATGGTTCTTGTTTGGTGAGACTTAATTGTATCAACTAACTCTAGCCTTGACTCCTTCATCGGTTAAAAAATAAATGGTGGTATTTCTCAAATCCAGCAGATGACACCTAAATTAGATGTCATGAACTGTTAATTGTACAGTTCTCTGACACCCCCCTCCCCCATTTCTATATGAAAAATTTAAGTCCATAGTGTTGGCATTGTAAGTATTAGAAATGATTTTCTGAAATAATTTCTCACTGAGAAGGGTATGTTGGTTAATGCCCTTCATAGTAATTAGTGCATGCTTCTTATAGATTAATATAAACACCATAGTTCAGAATATTTAGATTTTGTTTGAAAGCCAAGCAGCTCATAAGTACTTCTTTATTTTTCCTTTTGTTTTTTTAAACTTAAAGCTGAAATTCTGAAGAACAAGAATGTTATGTTAGATAAGTGCTGGTAGCAGCATATGGATGTATACCATCTGTTGGTACCCTGTGTACCATGCATACCAACTGTTTCCAAGGCTTACCTAAGGATATAGGCAGATAAAACAAGTCACTGTGAAATAAACTTCAGCATGAATTTAGGATACGAACCCACAACTAAGTTCGTACAAGGTAATCTAATGTTCTGAGTACTAGCTACTATGCAGTAATTACCCGTGTGCATGCTTTTATCCCATGCTAAATTGAATTAGCTGTCCCATTTTAATTGAGGAGTAATCAATCTCACGTTTACCCTGAGGTAAAAACATGTATTCAAGCAATAACTACAGAATAGCTGATATACTGTAAGCCAGTGGTGCTCAACCTCTGGCCTGCAGGCCAGACACACCCCACGAAGCCATGTCATTCAACCTGTGGAACTCCCCACAGGTCAGTGGGAGGGGGGAGTGATGACAGCGTGTGGAACAGACTTACCGGACAAAGCATGGAGGCGGTGGGACGCCACGCCGGAAGACGAACGTGGCGAAAGTGAAACCGCAGTGTGCAGTCACCACGGGTAAAGATAAAAAAGGAAAAAAAGGGCTGAGCCTGAAGGAGCAGGGAACGGCTCCCGCGTCAGCATGGGCATGCTTTATAAGAGCGTGCCGGGACTGATTGGTCGGCCAGATGCCCGGGGCCAGGATAAAAGACCCGGTGGAAGACAAGCAAGGGGGACCAGAAGTGGAGTGTCCCCAACTGGCCTGGAGGGGCCAGAGCTCACAAGCAGTCCCAGTGAGAGGACCTGGTGGGTACCCCAGGAAGGGGGCCCTACAAGAACACAGGGCCAGGGTGGGCCGGAGGATTTACTTACAGGGTCGGTGTGGGTAAAGGAGGTCTGCAGCGAAGACTGGAGCCTGGCAGGACCCAGCAGTACCAGGATCCAGATGTGGCTGACGGGCGGCAAGTACCAAACCCAGGAAAGAGGCGACGTGCTGGGGGACGGAATGGTGCCGAAGCCGGATGCCATATAGATGGAGAGAAGGGGGCCATAGGAGATGCTTGGGATAGAACCATCACCACTAGCCTGCGGCCATAAGATCCCGAGAGCCAGAGCACTGAGAAGGTTCAGACATCAACCTCGACGACACAGGTGACAACATCACGGTTGGCATAAGGCGGGGTGTAGAGGAGGCGGAGCCC